GACCTTTCAGTGTTTACCATGTAAACTGCATCTCTGGATGCATAAAGTGATCAAACCATTGGAAGGTTAAATCAAAGCAATGAATTCTTATTACACGTATAGCTTTTTAAAAAATTAAAAACATTGAAAAATCATTACTTAAGAGCCACCAACTTGAAGAAGGTAAATGGTCTAAAACTAACTAGGGAAGGGTTTAATAAATGAAAAGTAGCTAAATGCATGCTTCAAATGAGAGTTTTTCCAAACATCTTGGAAAATTTCTCTCTACTCCTCCCCAAGTGTTCTGTAATGGTCATTTTATAGCCATTTGCTTAAAGACCTAACTTTTTGGTGCTGCTGTTTCCAAACTGCAAAGAATGATGGCACTTGCTTGCAAAGTATCTGAACTAAAGTTTTCAAAACTGGGTACCTATATCCAGACGACTACTCGTAGATTTGGGCTCCTAAAGAAAATAAGCGTTTTCATAAGCAACAAGCGCTGTCACTTCCCACTGCTGTTGAAATCCAGCAATACCACTGTCTGAGTCCCTTTACAAAGAAAGGAGCAGAGTCACTCAAGATTCACTCCATGTACTCTGGCTGGAGTCCTCAAGCAGGTCAAGAGCAATGGATAGTATTACAGCAGAACTGGTAGTACCACCTATTATGCAGGATGCCCAACATTTTCTATTACATAAACCTGTCTTCAGTTGCTTATAACTTTGCCAAACATTTACTATTTGGTCTGAAAATTCCACACCAAGTATCTGCTGCTCATATAGGTCTGATGAGGCCAAAAAATGGGTAACAACTGGTTGCTTCCATGAGAAACTGGTAGCCTGTTGATGGTTTTGTTGGCTTTGAAAGTTTCACCCTGACACATTCTGCTATGTCAGAGAACGAGACTAGGAAAATATGCACTGGGACCAGATGAATCAGAAGCCTGGGGCTGGGCATAGGAAGGTGTAATAAAGGAAGTGCAGCTAGGGGAAACTGAGGGTCTGGCAAGCCCAGAGGTTTTCTGGGACTTGAATGAGAAGTTTGGAGCATGGGAAATAGGACTGCAATGAGGTGAAGTAACAAGTGAAAAAAGAGTAACACATTAGAAGGGTCAGCACAGAATTAAACAAGCTTGGGGGAAGTAGACTGAAGCAAATGTGCCTACTACAGCTGTGATGCTCAACCTTTCAGCCCTGCTGGCTGTATTAATGGTGCAGGCACCACATGCCAAATCCAACTGCGGAGTAACCCTGTGAGGTAGCTTGGTCCTCGATGCTTCTGGTCATGGAGTGACCCCGAGTACTGGTTCTCATTGAACACCACTGCACTACAGCAATCTCCCTTCCAAAGTAAAGAAAGAACCGTGAGCTCCCTGACTCTCCTCATTCCTCTGCTGCCAGCAAATACCTGTGAAAGCCACAGACAAAGTGTGCACCACAGTGACTGTCACTTAGAATAACAATCTGCTATTACTATTGTTATATGTTACTGTCAGCTCATGTGGCAAAGGTATGCAGGATACTTGAAGGCTTCAATCCAGCTCATGGTCCATGTGTATGCCAGTAGAATGCCACGTAATAGAAAAATTGGAAGCTAAACTCAGGATATTGCACCACACTAATACAGAAGAAGAGAATATTTGATTTCTTGGGCTGTACTGCTCACTTCAAGGCTTGTGCTCCTTAAAAAGTTACTGCAAAACATACTGCTTATGAGTTAAGGTCTTCTGTGTGATCTACTTAAACTGGTTTTTCATTCTTCTGATGAGAGTGAGTTCAAGAAAAGTTCAAGCTGTCTTCAATATGTGTGAACCCCTTAATCCAGAGATGGGCAAAGCTATAGCCTTGCCCCCCCACCTCCAGTACCACGCCTGCTAGCAGGGTGGGGAGCTGCTCCAGATCCCAGCTGGGATCTTGCAGTGGTGACAGCATGGTCCAGAGCCAGGGCAGAGCTGTGATCTGCAACCTGCATGCCCCAGGCAGGGACATGCAGCCAGATTGCAGCTATGCCCTAGCACTGGACCATGCTGTCACCACTGCAAGAAGCTGGGGCACAGCTGTGATCCACTGCCTACACATCCCTGCCCGGAGCATGCAAGCTTCAGATCGCAGTTCTGCCCTGGCTCTGCACCATGCTGTCACCACCACAAGATCCCAGCCCAGCTCCAGAGCAGGTGCATGCCCTGCCAGTGCTGCTGGGGCCAGTCTTTATGGAAACTGACATCCTGCTATCAGAACGCAGCTGCTGCTGGGATCTCCCTGGAAACCAGCCCCAACAACATAGCCAGGAGCTGCTGGGAAATGAAGTCCAGCCACCAGCTGGATCCACCATTTTGCCCACCTCTGCCATAAACCCACAAAAACAGAAAACCCCCCACCTTTGCTCCTGCTCCCCCAACTCTAGTTTTTAAGCCTAATTCCCTACCCTCTGAAGTTACCTTATGCATCGGTCTCTATTTAATCACATTTGTTTGGGCAGACGGAACTGCAAGTCAGAGCAGCAATCACTGTGTGTTGTCAGCCTTGTACTGTCTTCAGTGGGAGCACTCATACAGAGCTCCAATTTCCTGCTGTACTTACAGTTGGGAATAGGCCCTCGGTGGGGAATTACAGCAAGAAAAGAATCCTGTCAGAGGGCCTGAATCTGAGCAACATCAAGCACCTACAGCCCTGAACCCAATAGGAGTTATTGTTTTTGCAATTACTATTGTTTAGACCTCTGCCACATTTTACATATATTACACAATTAACTGGTGAGTTGCATAATAAATTTAGACTGGCTTCACTGTACAAAATCATTATTGCTCATTATTGTCCAATGAGCTATCAAGTTAGCACTTGAAAATGTGTAACAATTTTACAGCTGGTTTCTAAGCCATCTTACATTTGATCATGCCAGAGGAAATGCTACAAGGACACATTAAAGTTATAGCTCAGGAAAACAGAAGCCAAGAATCATAGAAAATGAGGGCTGGAAGGGACCTCAGGAGGTCATCTAGGATGTCCTACTTCAAGCAGAACCATCCCCAACTAACTCATTCCAGCCAAGGCTTTGTCTAGGCAGGTCTCAGAAGCTCTCCAAGGATGGAGATTTGACAGCCTTTATGGGGAGCCTGGTCCAATGCTTTACTACCCTGCTGGTAAGAAAGGTTTTCTTAATATCTAAGCTAAATGTCCCTTGCTGCAGCTTGAGACCAGCTCCTTGTTCCATCATCTGCCAGCACTGAGAACAGTCTAGCTCAGGGGTGGGCAGTTATTTTGGCTGCAAGGCCCTGAATGAGTTTTGATCAGCAGTTAAGGGCCGTGCCCATACAATCTTTCAGAAGAGATAATTTAACAAATTATAGTTTAGAAAAAACAAATATACTAAAAATAAAATGTCTGCTACAGCATATTTTAATTTTAGTTCAGAAAAAGAATTTTTGTTCTGATTTATGTTTTTTTCTGAGTAGCATATATAGAGGTGATTACATAATAGCTCAAAATAAAGTGTAACTCTTGTATATTGTGTGTAGGAGTGGAGGGTGGTGTGTGGAGGGGTTGGGGTGGAGTGTACAGGGTGTGTGTGTGGGGGTGGTCTGTGAGGATGCGCCTGTGTGGTTGGTTCCAGGAGCCTGCTGGGGTGGAGGGAGGGAGGGGAAGCAGGGTGTACATGCACCAGAGCTCACAAGGGGGGTGCTGGTACATTCCCCCCTGCCCCTCCTTTTCCAGTGTCCCTATGGCACTCCACATGGCACCACATGCCCCTGCCCACACCTGCTAGACAGTTCCAGTCCCATCCAGTGTGCACAGCTTTCAGGGAGGAGGTGCTGCCGGTGCAACTGCAGGTGCCTGGGTGCTGCTCAGCTGCCCTTGCCTCCTGTAGCTTCTCCTCCTCCTGCCCCTGCTGTGCCACTTCAGGCAGGGGAAGCTGCAGCCAGGTGACTTCTGCCCCAGTGCACAGGGCTGCAGCTCCAGCTCCCAGTTGCCTTCCACTCCACTTGCCTGGCACCATAAGCAGCCCCCTGCAGGGGGCCAAGTGGGCGGAAGGCAGCAGGGAGCAGGGGCCCCAAGTGCTGGGGCAGGAGCCACCCATCTGCAGCTTCCCTCCCACATGGCTGAGTGTGTGGTGCCCAGTACGCATCCCCACAGCCTCCACTGCTTCCCTGCACTGCCTGCAGCCGGGAGCAGTATAGTAGGAACCAGTGGAGGTGAGGGGAGCCAGGCGGCACATGGGTGGCTGCAGGCATACTGGGAGCAGCCCCACTGTGCACTGTAGCAGGGGCTGGCGGGAGCGTGGTGCTGGCTGCCCTAGGCACAGGCTGGTGGAGCTCAGCCCCAAGAAGAGTACTGCTGGGGCAGCTTGGGCCAGATCCAATCAGTTGGGCCAAATCCAGCCCACGAGCCACATTTTGCCCACCCCGAGCTAGCTCCATCTTCTTTGTAACCAGCCTTTGTATCCCATCCCCCCCCC